GCCACTCAATAGCTTACTTAAGATATTTATCTAGTGAATAAATTAGGAATTTCAGCAGATGTTCATGCAGAACAGCATTGATAACAGACATAGTTGAGCAAATGGAGACAGACAGGTCTACTCCCAATGACTACTATTCCTCCCTGTTGCTCTGCTGGTTTTCAGGTCCAGTAAGTATAGCATATACCTTACAACCAGTCTGCTGCCTCAAGGTCTCATGGCCTGGTCAGTGCTTTGAGCCCGCGCTTGAAGGTGTTCTGGATGACTTCCAGATCTCATTAACCTTGGGCAGAGGGCCCACAGTTTGATCAGAGCCCCAAAGGCTGGTGGGTCAGGATGCTATTCTCTCAGTCCCTGCCCAGCTTTAGTCTGCTGGCTTCAGATTTACAGTATGTTCTGTATACATTCCAATCTTCACACACTGCTACTGACACAAAGATATCCACATATAAAATCAGAATCTGTAGTTTGGAGACAAGAATTCAGATATTCCAAATGTTCTGGCTTCTGTTTGCTGTCCAAGTATTTTCCTACAGCTTTTTCAGGCTTTGTTTGTATGCAGGGAAAGTGTGTGTGTGTGTGGAGTGCAAAAGAGGCAGAACTCATAGAGGGGAATGCATTCTGGCACCAATAGGCTATTGTATGGTGAGGATTTAGCTTTTCATTTCACTCTAGAAAACATAAATATGCATATTACTGCGGCTAACAATCTGGTCATAGATGTCGTCTCTGTTCTTAATTTGTCCTCATGTCCAAAGTCTGATTGTTAAATATAAAAAATGAAAGTCTTGGTCTGAATATCCTGTTTCAAACCTACTTCACACAACAAAAGCCCCCCAAATATGTCCATTGCTTCCTCTGTCTTTTTAATTTGATAAACATGGGGTTAAGAGGTTACTACTACTCATCCACAAGACATAAAGGTTACACATTTTTGTTCTCAGTTTTCTTTTCATTTGTTAAAACTTTCAAGAGGCATGCCTAATGTAGTGGTGCACTGTAATATTTCAAAGTCATTCATTCCCACTTAGCCGCCTTGGTTCAGTTTCTTCTGTGCCCCCTCTTTAAATATCTCTCATGAAATCTGATGTCAGGATCAGTTCACTATATGATTGCTATACCATGCTCCCGTCCTGCAGGCAAATATACTGTACAATATGTTCCCTCAATATCCATACACTTGAAGCTCTCTCTTCATTAATGCTACACGAGGCACCATGCTGAGTTAAGTGAATGTAATCAACTACAATCAGTACTTTGAATGTTGATTCTATTAAAATAACACGTAATGGGAATGTTATAAGATATATATATATAGATATATATATGGCCTGTTCTTGTGTGACATCTTTATCCATTATGTAGTTTACAGGATTGTACATTGTAGAAACTGGCTTTAAATTGCTACCTTCCTTTTTCTTTTTTACTTATAGCATATGTCTATGATCTTGGGCTGATAAGGCTACAAAAGGGAAAATATGACTGACAAATACAGTCTCGCCTGCTGCCATCTGTGCTTCTTTAAGTTTTGGCTCTCATGCTCACCAGTCACCATCGGCCGCCTAAGGGAAAAAACAAATTTGTCTTTATCATCTGCATTAATCAGTCCTTGTGTTCAAAAGAGTCATAATTGTAATCAATGTCTTGTAATAATGGCACACAGGTGATTGCAAATTAGTTTTTCAGTGGAACATAATCGTCCTTGTTGGATCAGAAGTGTTTTTGACAACTAGGCTTTAAGGGCATGCTTGTCTTTTTTCTTGCCAAAACCTCCAGGCTTCAGTCACGTTTGACAAGCTGTCGCGTTCACTTCAATGTGCTGTTTGTCACTGCTGTTGCAATGTCCACTGGTGTGTGTGTGTGTGTGTGTGTGTGTGTGTGTGTGTGTGTGTGTGTGTGTGTGTGTGAGTATGTGTGTGTTTGCGCACCAGCATGTGTGTTCTCTCACCTCCTTGGCACTATGTGTGTGTCCATCCTTGGGTGATGCATGGTCAGCCATTGTACAGCACCACTGTGGCCTTGGAACGGAGTCTGGCCAGACAGATTGCAGCAGGACGCTGCGAGGTTGGAAGGAACATCCCCTCAGTTCAGCGAAGGTCGGACGGAGGCATCATTAGGTTGACAGAGTCTGAAACAGGGTCTACTGGGGTGGGGGAGTTGACTGACGGTTTTTGACTCAAGGACATGCCGGTATCAGAGGTTAATGACAGAGGCAGCCTTGGTACGCTGTAGGGGGTGACACTTATCATACTGATACAGATAGCCTCAGTGTGCTTGTGTGTGGGTGTATAGCTGGCATGTGTGTTGGACAAATTCTTAAAGACATTACATTTTGAATATTTTAAAAACTAACAACATTGCTATTGACAGTCAATATTCTGCATTTTAAATCTGGACACTTTTAAAGTAAATCATTGTTTGAACAGTAAGAGTAAAGTCTAAGAGTAAACGAAAGGATTACAATTGTAGCAAAAGAACATTGCCAAATTTTATAGAATCTAATCAATCCATTATTTGATATCTGATTCTGATATCTCACGGGTCATCTCCACTATCTAATACTTGTCAAGATACAATATGTGAAAGTAAGAAAACTGCAAGAAACATTCATTGTACGAATTTTATACTCAAAACCAATTTCCTTCCATGCCATGTATGTGTGTGTGTGAGTGTCAACCTCTTTCCATCCGTCCTAATTGTCCCCATTTGATCAGAGCCGTCGTGGTTTCAGGCGCTTTCTTGTCCTCCCTGCAGCTCCATTTATCACAGGCACCAATGGAGACACACAAACACGCTAGGTGCTTCAAGGTGAATCCTTCAAATGGCTCAGCTTGTGTTACCTTGTTAAATCGATGCGCTTGGTGACAACTGGCAGCAATGGAAATCTCACCAGGCAGGAGACTTTTGACACAGACGTGTTTTGGAGGTTGGGAAAATGCTATTAAAAGGCCCTCACACAGTATGTGTCTAATGTCCAGACTTTTGTAAACTCTAGTATATAGTCGTATAGTCCATTTTCTGATTTTTTTTATATTTTTAATAAGGGGACATACTGTCATGAGTTATGTTCTTGTCTGAGTCAGTTCATGTCGTATTTTCAAATTCAAAGTTTTTATCCCCAAATCGAAACTGACTAACTCAATTGACTTTAGAAACACATTTTCAAAAAGGAATTGACTACTCTCTTTTAACCAAGAAAGGCACCACAACACATGTGCATGCTTTGGCAGTATTAATCTCTAGCCAACCTTCTCCATTCAAAAAAAGGGCTTGCAAGTAAGAGATGTGAATTTTGTGAAAATATGACCAACAGAAAGCCTCTCTATTACACGCTCTCTTGCACAGGGTTTCCAGACTAAGATCTGCAGTTAGTGTAAGTTAAGAATGAAAACTGAGTCATTTTGGCAACATTTTATAAACCACATAGAGGGGTTTAAAATATCAATGGGGGAGGGGGGGACTTTGAGATTTGGACATATTCTTCTTAAATAAAATGAGACATTTATGAGGCATGTGCGTTAGTGTTATAGTCAAGACCACACTAACACAGACCAAGACCAGAGTGATCCTAGACCAATACAAGACCAAGACATTGTGGGATCTAGACCGAGTAAATACCAAGACCAAGACAGGGTGAGACAGAGACAAGACCAAGACCATAAATATCACTGACAAATCATCATGAGTGCAGGGGATGTGTTGCTCACTTAGACCGGGAAGGTTGTGGCCCTAACCGAGGGATAAAAATCAAATTGTGAATGAATTGTATTTATTTGTTCTTTTAGAAAGGGTCGTCTTCCTTCTTATCACAGTGGCAGCTTGAAAAAATAGCCTTTTAGTGGTGGTCTTTACTGGTCTTGAATTAAAATACTGTCCAGTCTGAGACCGTGACAAGACCAAGTAAAAAAGAAAATTGATTCCGAGACAAGACCAAGACCTTCAAAAAGTGGTATCGAGACCAAGACCAGTTTGGAGTACTTAAACACTAATGTGCCTCTCATGTTTTAAATTGCAAAGCTGGAGGATAGAAGTAACTTGTTTTCAAGCTTTCATTATTATTTTTCCTTTTAGTATATTTTAAGAAGGTCTTATTTATTTGGCTTGAAAACATTTTTATTGTGTCCCTTACACAAAGAGACTTAGTTGTTGTTTATTTTTGAATAGGTTTTTTTTCACAGCGGACATTGTCTTGAAGTAAAGCATTTCTTTCAATAACAGTCTCAATGGCTGTGTCTATTCATCAGATTCTCATCTATTCTCAGTAAGCCATGACAGTGTGAGAGTGAGCCAGCATGCACAAAGCCAGGACCCTGAAACTGAAGTAGCTAAATGGAATGTAGCCATCATTCATTCAATTGCTTGCCTGCACTTTTCTACTGGGACATGTCAAAAATCTCCCTTTGAAGAAGACCAACATTTCTCTTTAAACAACAGTGGAAGTTAAGTTTGAGAGAAGAATACTCAAATAGGTATAGGCTATTTATCTAACGCTCAATAACCAACAGCAATGACTTTGTTTGTATATGAGTTTACAATGCACACAAGTGAGCACACTTAATTTTGGACAATTACAAAATAATGTATGAGTATGAGTAGAGTGCAATTGGCACTTGCATATCAAAAATCCACTTAACCATGTTGAATTTAGTGATGCTGTGTTCAGAAATTGGTGTAGCACAGTGGATGCTTGACCCAGTCATGGTAAAGCCTGCACAGGTGTTCTCAGTGTTAAATCATTAATATATGTGTATTTGTTTCCTGTGATTTCCAGTTAATGAAAATCACTTGTTAATACCTCTATATTTCCTGAACCTGAATTTTTTTTCATGTTAACAGAGAAAGCCGGACTGTGATGTATCTTGTACAAGTCTTCAATTTGATTTGATGTGAATTTCTGATAATACCTGACAATCTGTTATCATATCTGATATTTCATATGCCTGCACACTACTATTTCCCTGCTTTTCACTAATATCCTGTTATTTTTTACACCCATCTAGCATGCCACCCGGGCTTCTACAAGGCATATGCTGGAAACATCAAGTGTTCAAAGTGCCCTCCACACAGTTTCAGCTATGGAGAAGGAGCCTCTATCTGTCGCTGTGAGAATGGCTTCTTCAGAGCAGAGAAAGATCCTCCGACTATGGCTTGTACACGTGAGTATCACAGACAATAGATACCTCCTTATTTTCTTTTTCATATTACACACATAACCACATTCTGTAAATGTAAAGGGCTGTAAGTCATTCCTCTTTGTTTAATGACAGTCAGGGCAGGATACTTAACCTCAACCTCAAATGTTCAAATACCATCGTTCTATACTCGGGTTGGTTACGGCTTTTTCTTGAGAGCTGCCCTGTGTTCTCTCTGAATTTGCACCGGCTGTAAATCCAGTCTCGTCTCCAGGACTTATCTGGTGAGAAACTGTACATTAGAGAGTTTCTGGATCAATTACTTAGCTTTTGTTCAGCTGCCTGCTCTTCATTGATGATTCACTGACTGTCATTACGACTTCATATTTGCATTAAATTACAGTTTAACCCGACTAATTCGCTTTTAATTAAAAAGCCATTTAGCTGTCACTGAGATAGACGGGGGCCACGTCTGAGAGCTCCACAGAGTGGAAGAGTGTATTTGTCTTCTATGGCGAGACAAAGGCAAATCATTGTAGGGAAACTGAGTTTACTGTTCACTGCAAGATGCACTGTTTGAAGAGAAATCTTTAGAAAATACTTCGACCCTACACAGTGTTTTTCATATCAAATGTAAGCACAGATGATGCAACACTTCGCATCAAGAAACCCATGCTGTTATATATGCAGGCTGTCCAGTGCAAAAGAAGTCTAAACAGTACAGCAATGATTAAACAATACTGTACACAAAAATAAATTCTACAGAGAACAAATTACGACCAGAAATGTTACAGTATAATTACAGTAAAGATTTTAAAGTGAGAAGAAATGAACACAGATGCCTGCGTCAGACAAGTAGACACAATGCCTATCAAACAATATTGTTTTTTTAGTGGCTTGTTCAACCGCTCTCTTCAGTTGCTTTTAATCGTTAAACTTAATCCTCCAGGCAAGTAGCACATTCTTAAACTTCAAGGCCACTTCCCTACCAATATAAGCGAACACTAAAGGCTAGTGGAGGTGTAACAGCACTGCTAACGAAGAGGAGTAGACCACCACATCCATTCTAACAAGCTGTGAGTTCTATGTTTACTCACATCATGCATTTTAATCAGGAGCTTGTAAGATGCAGCATAAACTATTTGCTTGATGTCTGAGGTAAAAAAAAAAAAAAGAAAAAGAAATGGAGATTAAAGGCTGAGGGCCTGAGGGGAAGACGAAGGTAGAGAGCAATAAAGAGAGGATGTCACAGGAGGAGAGATAAAGGAGGAGAGAAAGTGTAAATGCTGGATGGAGTAGACAGTGAAGAGAGAAAGGAAGGAGGGTGCTGATACCAATCTCCCCCTAGAGGAGAATAGGAGCTGATTGATGGCAGTGGGGATGCTCTGCAGGTGGGGAGGCGGGTAGACTCTCCTCGATGGAGAGAATGGAGGAGGTGAGATAATGGTCGATTGAGGCAGAAAGATATAAAGAGAGAGAGAATGGACATGCGCTGACAGAAGTGGAGGAGGAGTAGGAGGGGCTTTCCTGTCTGCTGAGATTTTTAGCAAAGGTAGAGAAGAAGAGGGATGGAGGGATGGTGAAGGAAAGGGAAACATACCATTGTCTAGGAAGACAGTGAGGCTGGCAGGACGGGAGTGTTCAAATCCCTCAGGTCTTTTAGCTCCACCCTGTTGACAGCTGGCTGCCTGCTGTAGCACAATACTTACCCCCGACACACAAATGCACTGAATCAGGGAGCACAAAAACAACTCAACAAAGTGGAATATGAGAAATAACTTAATGTTTATAGCAAAGAATAGAAATGTATGAAGAGTTATGCCATACAGCAATATAATGTTTTCCAGAAAACAAAAAATGTATACCGCAATGTGCCTGTGTGAAATACAGCTTTTTAATTATGGGGAAATGTATTAATTTTATCACTAAATGACTCTGTCAATCTCGTGAAAGGCATTATAACTGATGAGAAGTCTTAGCTCGAAGCGGTGAACCTCAGGGGTCAGTTACTGGTCCTGTGCTTTTTATCATGCATTCTCTCCAGAGGTTTATTTTAGATGCTTGGATCCTCTAAAAGGAATAATTTGTGGACAGTAGAAAGGGCAGGATCACCAAGAATCTAGATCCTGCTGGTGTTGAGTTTAAGTCCAAGAGCGGAGATACAGAGGGACAACACTGGAACAAGCGCTGCATTGAAAAAATGCATTTCACTGATTGGACACATAGTGAAAATGTCATACAGTAACTACAACAAAGTTTTTGGTTAGTTTGGGCATTATGCTCTACTATTAAGGTTAAGATGAACCTTACGTCTCCGTGGTACAACAAAACAACGACAAAACTTGAGTTAGTTAAATTAAAAAAACCTAGCCTATCTTTCAGAATAAGCTTTAACAATAAGGATGATCTTTTCTTAGTTGCTCTGCAAATTTTTCATATTTGGAAGACATTCTAGTGATCTTCTATTAGTTATTAACCTTTTTTCCCACGCTGTCAAAGTCCCTACATTCACAAACTTACAATCACCATGTCTGTTAGATGATCTCACAACCTGTCTTTAAGACTTTAAGACTATTCTGCAAAACACAATTAATTTAAAGATCTTATTGATGACCATTATGCCAAGGCATTGACATCCAGCATTTTACAACTCTGAGTTACCAAGACCTAAGACCTCAAAGTCAATACCAACAACCAAACATGAACAAGAATCTTAAGCCATGAAAGACCATAGAGCTAATTATCATCTCTACTTTACACCAACTAAAAAATCGTATTTTTACTCCTGACAGGCCCCCCATCTTCTCCTCGTAACCTGATGTTCAACCTGAACGACACCTGTCTGTTGCTGGAGTGGTCACCTCCAAGTGACACAGGGGGTCGCAGGGATCTCACCTACAACGTCCTGTGCAGACGCTGTGGCCCAGAGCCGGGCCAGTGCCAGCTCTGTGGGGAGGACCTTCGTTTCCTACCAAGACCACAAGGTCTGACCAACGCCACTGTCACTGTCATGGACTTCTCTGCACACGCCAACTACACCTTTGAGATCGAGTCGCTCAACGGTGTGTCGGACATGAGCTCCTTCCCTCCCCAAGTTGCCGCCATCACCGTCAGCACTGATCAGGGTGGTGAGTAATATTTAAAATATTGTTTCTTTTATTGTAAATCTTTGAAAGTTGCTTTATCAGGGTAAAAAATGCTGAAACTCCAATTTCCCACAGGGTTTTGCCATAAGATAAAAAACAACTCATTATTTTTTGCAGGATAAGCCACCATATGGCTTTTCACTTTTAATTTCATGACTCGTAACTGATAAGGGTTATTTCCCCTTTTCTTTACATAATACAGACAACTGAACTACAATGACAATATGTTTAGCTAACCCTTGGGAGTTTTGACAACTCACAGCTCTTGGAAGTAAAAGTTTTGGCTGTGCACATGTATTCAGTTGACACAACACACATTACCACATCCTCCTTGGATGCAAATGCCTTCAACATTTAAGGTTTGCGAGATTGACTGAATGTATTGTAAATAGAACCTTTGTTCACACAAAAAACTCCACAGAGCACCATTTAATTCCACTCCTGCAAATTCCTTGTGCCAAACAAGGTAGTTCAATTTTGGAGATGTGACTGAAAGTGGTTTTTATTATACTTTCAAAATGTCTTGCTATTTTCCTGTTATTGTTTACTTAATTCATTCACATGTGCACTTTCCTCTACTTACATGTTCTTCTCACGCATGTTTGGCCAAACTTGACATGTTAATCATTGTAACACACTGGTTAGGGAAGGGGTAGTTCTCTAAAATACATCACCAGTTATCCAATAAGCATACATTATTTACTGCAGACACAAACTATTTGTTAGCATAGAATAAACCAAATTATTGGATTGTAGGGGTGTTGTTTATGAGTGCTCAAGGGCATACTCACAATAGCAAAGTTATCATGTTCCGCGCTTAAGCACGATTGTCCCCCCTCCCCATTCCCCCGCTGGCCTGCACTCACACTGCTCCAGGACTAAACGGGCCTGAGCACGATTACCTCTTGTACATAAGGTCGTAATACAACACATGTCTGTCTTTATGTGTTGATGAAGTCTTAGTTTACAAGACAGGCTCACTCGAGAAGAAAATAAAACGAAAAGAGATGCCCAGTCGAGTCCCCGTCCACACATCTGAGATTATCACTGAGAACATGACAGCTACTTTACTGACTTTGTGGCTTATTTTGAGTCATTACTATTCGGAGACGGCCATAACACTCGGGGATTTTGTCTATAATGAAGGCTGTGTGTTCCCGTGCTTGTGCTTGTTCATGAACTTTACCGTGCCAAATCAAACCTCTTCCTAGCGTGCCAGGGCCAAGGAAGTGTACTGTGCTAGAGGACCGACTGGAGCACTCACACTGGTCAAACAAACTGGACTTTAGGGATGAAGCGTGCTTGAGTACGGTACGGATTGCCTAGTGTGAGCGCACCCTGAGTCTAAAATTTAACATTACAAAATCTTAACTGACATAGTGGATCAAGAAAAAGGCCTAGTGTTCACACATAATTATATTCCTTAAGTATTAGGTTTGCATCATTATCTGCTGCTGTGAAAGATGGCAGGAGGCCAACGTACGGTTGTCTCTACCTACCTTCCTGCTCTAAATAAGGTTTTTGTGCTGAAAGGTCCATATTTCCTCAGGGACATGGTTTGTTGTGTGGAACGCTTATGCTTTTAATTTGTGATTTGCGAACACTGTGTTTTCTTTTTTCTATCTCCTCCCTCTCCTTTTCTCCCTTGACTATTCCCTCTACACTTTTTTCCATCGGTTGTTTGTCCTCCTCCTCCTCCTCCCCTGCCTCTCTCTCTCCTGTCTCTAAACATATTTGTTTCCTTTTTTTCTCCTTCCCTCCATCCTCATGTCGCTGTGGGAGTCTGGAAGAAATACATTTTCCTATATAGCCAAAACACATTAAATGCATTATTTTATGTCACTGGGGACATCTCTAGCCTTTACAGGTAACTCTATGTTACACTCAGCCTTTTTATTTCATTAGGAGGCTCAGTTTAGCACACAGTGGTGACAGGTCCCCAAGCTGTACACAAGACCCATTTCATCACTAATATACCCAGCTGCAGCTATTTAAAATGCTCAGGGGAAGAGGCAGATTGTTGGCTATCAGCCAGTGATAAGCAGCCAGATGATTTTTTTTACTACTGTCACCTTGACAACGTAGAGTTAGCTCAGACAGTAAATGGTCAGTCGCATTAATGTGATGGATGTTATTGATGACATAGCTGGTGATATGAAGGCCATATAATTGTACAGTAAGCAAATCCATCCCATGTGCTGCTGATCTTAGTTTGCAGTTACAAGTGTTTGAGAATGTTTTACAGTGCAGTTCTTGCTTTTTGTGGCAGGTGGCAGTAAAGGACATAAATGTAAACAGAGAAATTAAAAAGTTTTCATTATACAGAAATAGCGCCTTAAGATGGATGTATCATAAGCAACTTAAACTAATTGATTGGATCATTTTGAGGGGATACCTTTTTAATGTGTAATTAATGTTTAGCTGTTTTAGTTGCAAATCACTGCATCATATTTGATAAGCCCCTGATACGTTTTTTTAACCTAATCTGAAAAGAAAAAAAAACTAGTCCTGGACCAATAAAGCAGAGTATACATTTAAATATGAATCTGTGAAATGTAGTGATGTAGAGTTATAACTTAGCAGGAAGAGAAAACAGTTTGTCACGTTTCTCGTTTATAGCTTTTTTTATGTTATGGTATCTATGTATCACACCATATCCTACTTGAACTAATTGAACATCTCAACTAGGAGCTATTTTTAAAAGATCGAGCACCTTGTGGGAGGTGAACTTCTACTGTATGTGAGATTTCATGCTGCTGTTGGGAGTGGAGGAATAAGATGGAGGAATAAGATTCATAAACACAGAAAGTCCCTCACCACCAAACACAAAACCAAACTCTCCCGCATCGTTAATCAGGCCAGCAAAATAATCGGTTCCCCACAAACTACCCTCTCCGAACTGTATAACTGCTCTGTGATCAGGAGAGCCACCCTGATCACAGAGGACCCCTCAAACCCCCTCCACGACTCCCTTCCAGTTTCTGCCATCAGGCAGACGCTACAAAGTCCCTCTGGCCCGGAAAAACATCTACAAAAAATCCTTCATTCCCTCTGCAATAACCATTCTCAACAAAATCAAATAGACCCCCCTTTTTAGAAACTGTTCTTTTTAAGTCCTCTTTTAATGTGGTGCACTTTCTGTTTTTAATGTAAGTTGTGTTTATTGTTCGCACCCTTTCAAAGGAGAATTTCTGTCTCTGTTGGGACAGACAATAAAGTCGATCTATTCTATTCTAATCCAAAACAGTTATAAAAACTTGTGTCAGTTTGAGGAACACCGTCTCAAGTTTGTTGTAATATTGTGTCATTTATTGAGTAAGGCTTAACATATGGTTATTTACAGTTTAGTCTAACTAGACTGACAAACAGCAAACCAGCAATTCCACCAATGCTCCTTCATTTTTTGATTAACGGATTTATGTAAGGCGCATCTAAATAACCAAACGTCTGCATCTCAGACGAGTTAATCCTGCAAGACAATAAAGCCAACCATTACAAAAATGTTGATTTATTTAAAAAAAAAACGTAATTTGGCCTAAACCTTAAATGTAATTTCCTATGTTTTTCAAATCATTTCAAATTGAATACTGAAAAAAAGATAATTTAAATAGATGGCATGGAATGGAGGTTATCAAACACCAGAGCCAGATTTCTAACCTTTTTAAGATGAAATTTTTCAACCTGAACTTTTGAGGTTGTTTAATTTTAGCAGGCAGATCTGTGGCTGTAACAGACAAGGTGTCAGTGACTGATACATACAATCACACTGTCCATGTGATAATTAAACATTCATGTCACACAAGATCACATTTACAGCTTTATTATCACAACTTACTCTGTATAATTATTTTTCTGCAGTTGGAGTAGAATTGTGGCAGTGATTACCAGAATCTCTGAAACAAATGCACATCAAAGCAAACCATCTAAATCAGGTCTAAAATAAATGTTTTTTTTAAATTTATTTTATCATTTCTTCTATAACAGCAGTCTTGCAAGCACTTCCAGCTAACAGCAGCTACAACATTTCACTGGAGAAGGCATCCGATCCCTCAGCCAAGCCAAATGTTTTTGTTGACGGATGCCGATTGTCAAACTGTTGACAATGTAAAAACTTCAGCAGTTTTTTTAAAGTTTCAAAATGTGCAAAAGGTCAGCACATTCACTCAATTCAAAGATAAACATGCAAACCTTCTTCAGCGACTGCAGTGATATTCATACATACAAATACTTTTGCACATACAGGCTTGTTTGGAAAGGTGCACCGAAAATCCGAACACCATTAGCATAGCGTTGCCATCAGCAGAAAATGAGACAGCCATGAAAATGTGTAAGTGTTGTGAGGAATATCAAGAGTCTCCTAGCCACAGATAAATTAGACTTAGTCATTAAAATGGAGATGGCCCTTTAGTCAATGCTTTGTGTGAGGTTAGTATATGATTTGTTGTGCCTATGACATGCTGCTTTAGAAACACACACACACTGCATATATATGTATATATATATATATATATATAAATATACACACACACTAATACTGCACATGCAACCGTGGCACAGAGAGGCAAGGCCTGTGATAATTTCTTGTCAAGAATAACCTTTTCAATATTTTTTGATTCATAGAGCACAGCTCATCTGATGTATGCACAAGCATCAATCTATATAACAAACACTCGTGCACTGACACTCTATGTGGGGTATTATAAAGTTGAAGGATTAACAGCAGGGGGTGCCTGGAGTAAATCCCTGTAATTTAGGAGAAATAAAAAAACTGGAGGAAAATTATGTTTACATTTGCAGTTCTTGGATTTCGGCACGAGCGGTGTAGTATGACTGGGATCTGGCTTGATAATACATAAAATAATACATTTCAATCAACCAAAGTACAAGATGGATCAGATCTGACACACCCGACTTTCCCCCCAAATTAAAATTTTCAGATGCATAGTATTTAAGTTGATTCAGATACTTACCACATGCTTAAA